CTCAGACTGTTGGAGGGCCGGACTATAGTTTAAAAAAAAAACTATGAACAAATTTCTATGCACACAGCGGCGGCAAAAACACCTGGTGGGCCGGATAAATGTTTTCGGCGGGCCGCAGTTTGAGGACCCCTGCTCTATCCACTGAGCCAAACCAGTTAGGGCAGGATATGGTTTTTTTTTTCTCATTGATTTTAGAGAGAGAGAAAGAAACATCCATTGGTTGCCTCCTGTACATGCCCTGACTAGGGTCCAAACCCTAAACCCAGGTATGTGCCCTAACTGGGAATTGAACCCATAACCTTTTGGTGTACGGGACTACTCTTTAACTGGGCCAGTCTGCCAGGGCAAGAAAAAAATCTTTGGATCTTAAATGACTATCTTCTATCTATATATATAAAAGCCTAAGTGACCGTTTGGCTGTTGGACTGTTTGACCGGTAGCTGTGATGTGCACTGACCACCAGGGGGCAGTTGCTTTGACCGGTAGGTTAGCTTGCTGGGGTCCAGCCAATCGGGACATGAGCTGGACATGCCTGCACCCCTTCCGTGGTCCCTCCCCAGCCCCGATCGTGCACTGGTGGGGTCCCTCGGCCTGGCCTGTGCCCTCTCACAATCCAGGACCCCTGGGGGATGTTGGATAGCCGGTTTCGGCCCGATCCCCGCAGGCCAGGCCAAGGGACCCCACCGGTGCACGAATCTGTGCACCGGGCCTTTAGTATATATATAAAAGCCTAAGTGACTGATTGACTTGTGTCTGTGACATGCACTGACCACCAGGGGGCAGATGCTCAATTCAGGAGCTGCCCCTGGTGGTCAGTGCGCTCCCACAGCAGGAGCACTGCTCAGCTAACCAGTGGGCACCTGACACTGGGCTCATGGCTGGTGAGTGCAGCTGCAACAGTGCGAGCCTCTCCTGCCTCTGTGGCAATGCTACCAAGCGGTGGCAGGTGCAGTGGGGCTGGGATAAGCGGGAGTGGCGCGGTGCCCGGCCTGGGCTTGGGCTTCTCCCCGGCTGCCTGCTGCTTCACGCACTACTGGACCCCTCAGGGGATGTCAGACTGCCAGTTTGACAGTCCGACATCCCCTGAGGGGTCCTGGGTTGCGAGAGGGTGCAGGCCAGGCTGAGGGACCCCACTGGTGCACGAATCCATGCACCAGGCCTTTAGTTAAAAATATTTGACAGAGCCCTAGCCAGTTTGGCTTAGTGGATAGAGTGTCAACCTGCGGACTGAAGGGTCTCGGGTTCAGTTCCGGTCAAGGGCATATGCCCAGATTGCGTGCTCGATCTGTAAGGGCAGTTTAACCCTATCCCAGCAGTAACAGGATGCTTGCTTATCTATAACTAGAGGCTCGGTGCACGAAATTCGTGCAAGAGTAGGCCTTCCTTCCCCTGGCTGCCGGCAGCGGCTTCCCTCTGGCACCCAGGACCACCTCCGGCTGCCGGCAGGCACCCGGGACCCGGAATTCCCTTGCAGCCCTGACTTCATCCGGAAGGTTGTCTGGTCTAATTAGCATATTACTCTTTTATAATTATAGATGAGCCTAGTCCTCGCTTTCTGCACCGTGCAGACCCTCATCCTGGAACAGTTAGTTTGCAGAGGCTTTGAACCGAAGCCAGGTTCCCAGTGTTAGCTGCTGGTGTCAGTTAGAGGTCTGTTATAACCTATTTTTCAGCAAAATAGCTTTTAGAAAGACCCACACAAAGACCTGGAAGCAAGAAACAGAATCTGGAGCTATATAAGACTGGGTTCAGCAGGATAGAGGTGCTCAGCTTTCGGAAACTGATTTCCCTGCGCCAGCAGTGCTGCTTTTGGAATAAAGGTGAATTTCTGCATCTTCCAAGTGCTTGGTGGTCTGTCTTCCCGACTCTGGTTACTTTGCTATTACAGATCCCCAGTAGGGAGTGTGCAGGAAGCAGCCGATCAATGACTCTCATCATTGATCTTTGTATCTCTCTCTCCCTCTCCCTTCCTCTCTGAAATCAATAAAATATATTTTAAAAAATGACAGAATTAAAAAAAACTTTTTCTCATTTATTTTGAATTTTTTAATAATTTGTTCTAACAATAACTGTTTTTAATGCATATGTCTGTACATACATGATTTTACATACGGGTATAAATGGGATCATATTTAAATTTATTATCCTATATAATAAAAAACTAATATGTAACTGGTCGTTATGACGTGCGCTGACCACCAGGCGGCATGCGCAGAACATGGCAGGCATTGGCTGAGGCGGGATGGTGGAGCAGTTGAGCAGGGGCACCAGACAAGGTGGGGCACTTGCTGTCATCACCAGACAAGGTGGGGCACCAGTTGCTGTCATTGGGGCGAGCCTCTGGTGGTTACTGAAAATTCTTTGCTCCCGCACGCTGAGGTCCCGCCTGGTGCTCACACCTGCTGCTGGCGCAGGCCCCAATCGCTCCGCGCCTTCAGCAGGTGCAAGCATGGCGCCGTCAGCACGTGTGAGCAGTGGGAGCAGGGCTGCTGGCAGACAGGGGACCGGGGGCCATGGCAGGAGGGGCCGGGCGGTGGCACAGAGGATGGGCTGAGACGCACCCCTGTGCCTACTGCAGCCTTGTGGCCCACAGTTCCTTTCAAGGTGCACGAATTCGTGCACGGGGTCCCTAGTTCTATATAAAGCTTAACAGCAACGTTAAACAAGTCCCATAACCCTGGCATGACAACTTAGATATTTTTGTTCTGGACCATTTCAACATGCAGATATATTTTACATAGTTTTTTGTTTTTTTTTTAAATATATTTTTTATTGATTTTTTTACAGAGAGGAAGGGAGAGAGATAGAGAGTTAGAAACATCGATGAGAGAGAAACATCGATCAGCTGCCTCCTGCACATCTCCCACTGGGGATGTGCCCGCAACCCAGGTACATGCCCTTGACCGGAATCGAACCTGGGACCCTTCAGCCCGCAGGCCGACGCTCCATCCACTGAGCCAAACCGGTTTTGGCCTATTATTTAGTTTTATGTGATCCTACTTTTTAATCTTTTTTTCTCCCATATAATATTTCCTGTTTTCTGTGTGATCTTCATAGTTTCCTTTTATTACATGTAATCCTTGAGTTGCTTTGATCTACAAAAACATTATCTAAGGAGCCAAATTATAATACATGTTGATTACCTTGATTTTTCTATTGTAGTCTCAGAATGCATGAATTGGGCATCTTCACCACCCCTGTGGATGCCAGATCTGAGTTAGCCTTAAATAAGTTGCTAATAAATCCCTTCTCCCTTGTTAGTATTTCAGAGACTCCTCTCTCTGTGGCTGTTTAAGGACGCTGTCTGTGCTTACTGGCTGCGATTCATGGCCTGCAGCACATCTCTTGGAGAGGCAGGATGGCATAGTAGTTATGAGTGTGGTCTTATGCAGCCTTACTCCCAGGGTTCAAATCCTATCTCTGTTACTACTTACTGGCTTTGTATCCTTGGGAAACTGAAGAATACTTCCCTTCTTAGTAAAGTAATAATGTCTACGTTATATGATCATGGTTAAGATTCACTAAATTAATTCATCAAATATACTTGGAACAGAACCTGGTACATAGTAAGTAAGTGCTCAGTAAATTTTGACTTAATCTCTAAACGAACTAACCAATGAATGAGAAGGAGCATTCCAGGCAGAGACATTGTAAAGATAACAGAGGTTTGACATTTCATGCTGTGTTTAGTTAACTGGGCCTTTAGAGTGGCTGGAGTTCAGAGGAATGTGTAAGGAGGGCTGAGGTCAGTTTAAGGAGTGCTTTGTATACTATTTTTAGGGTTGTGGACTTTTTAGTCAGTTGGGTATATTTAAAAACTTTAACAGCATACTATTTTATTTATTCCCAATTCTGAGTGCATGCATTACACGGATTTGTCTTTATTACTGCTTCCTGCCCCAGAAACTGACACTTACTGGGTTTTCAGTAAATATGTTTCAACAAATGAGTAATTCCCTTATTTTACCCAACAAAACCAGATTCGTCACAGAATGTTCTTCCATTAGGTCCTGCAGAAGAAAAGCTATATGAAAAAAAACCTGTCTCCTTCTTAGACACTAATATACTCAGGTCTTTGTTGCCTGGCCAGCCTTTTATCAATCAGAAACCTTCACTAGCCGGTGTTTGCACATTTCAATTAGATTTAAAAAAAAATATTTTTTTATTGATTTTTAGAGAGAGGAAGGGAGAGGGCTAGAGAGATAGAAATGTTGATGAGAGAGGAAGTCATCGATTGGCCTCCTGCATGGCCCCCACTGGGGATCGAGCCCACAACCTGGGCATGTGTACTGACTGGGAATTGAACTGAGAATCAAACCAGAGACCTCTCCCTTCCTGAGTCAATGCTCAACTGTTGAGCCACACCAGCCGGGCTTCAGTAAGATTTGATGTCCGAAATAATGACCCTAGAGCACTGAATGGCTCTGAATTATCAAAGCAAGATTCAATTATGTTGGGAGTATTTAACATGAAAATTAAGGTGGGAGTGACACCATCAAATTGTGTTGATGGGCTGGCAGGGAGATAGAGATTAGGAGATTAATAATCTAGGCAAGAGATAATGGTTTGAATTGAGGAGGAGGCAATGGAAAGCCAGGAGGGGATGGATTTGGGAGACATTCTAAGGCAAGATAAATCCAATATTCTGTAATTGGGATAGGGTAGTGTGAGGCATCAGAAAATGCCTGAGGTTTCTAGCTTAGAGTTGGTTAGATGGTAGCAATATTAATAGAGAGAGGAAATTGGGATCATGAATGATATTAGATATTGGATATGTTGAATTGCTTGTGGGGTAGTCAGTGGAGTTGTCTAGTAATGAACATTTGAAAATTTGAGTTTAGATCTCAGGATAGAGAATGGGACGAGAAGCATAATTGGGCCTTGAAACCAAGAATTGGTTAAGACTGTTTCTGGAGAAGGTATAGGACTTATTATATTTTGAGTAGGTATTTCAGAGTAGTGTTATGAAGTATAAAGATGTGCCTGGTGAAGACCTTTAAGGACTCTAAATACCATGGAAGCATGTTAAAAAGCCTTCAGTTTTCCACAAATGGTTTCTGGGTCTGTAAGGAATTGGTCTCCTGGCATAATAAACTCAGATTCATTTTTTGAGTTAATTCTTTATATGAATTTTAGTAGTTTCCAGGCCATCTCTTTTTCTTTAAAATGCTAACAGCTTTATTTCATTCTGGTTATGAGAGTATAGCTCATTATGAAACAAATTGGAAAACAACAACAAAATGAAGCTTATTCTCCTATCCTGAGACGGTTACCATTAAACATTGTGTGGAACATTCATTGAGATACTTTCTTCACATACATTTGTATATATGTATGTTTTTAAAAGGGATCACTGTTTCTTTTGTAAATTAATTTGTTACTTACATTGTACATGGAAATGTTTAATATAGATAGATCTAAGTATCTTCTTTAGTGGCTGCCAATATCCCATTGTGTGGCTCTGTACTAGAATTTTTTAAACTGTTATCCTATTGTTGGACATTTATGTTGTTTTATACTCTTTTACTATTATAAACAATCTTGAGATGAACATCCAGATATTTATCTTAAAAGGTTTTAATTAATAGGTTAAAGGTGATCTCTTAAATATAACTGCTTTTATCTTTTTTTGTTTTATTTTTTCTCTCTCTTTTTTTATTGTCTAAAGTTTTACATATGTCTCCTTTTTCCCCAAGTGATAAATGCATGCATACAAGTCCTTTGATTGCTCTCTAACCACCTCCTCCCCTACCATTTGTCTCTGGATCTATTCTTTTTTTTTTTTTTAAGATATTTTATTGATTTTTTACAGAGAAGAGGGGAGAGGGATAGAGAGTTAGAAAAGTCGATGAGAGAGAAACATCGATCAGCTGCCTCCTGCACACCCCCTACTGGGGATGTGCCTGCAACCAAGGTACATGCTCTTGACCAGAATCGAACCTGGGACCTTTCAGTCTGCAGGCCGACGCTCTATCCACTGAGCCAAGCTGGTTAGGGCTGGATCTATTCTTGTTCATCAAATTATGTTGATCATTATATCCCACATATGAGTGAGATCATGTGATATTTATCTTTCTCCGACTGGATTATTTCGTGCTTTTATCTTGGGTACAAAATTTTGCTGTGACTTTGAGTTCCTAGCTGTTTTTAATTTCCTTACTTCTCTTGCCTCATTTTTCCTGCAGTGGTAGATTCTTCATGGTCAAGCTACCAGTTGCTCTCGATCCTGGGATGAAGATTTCAGTCATTTTGGAAACAGTCTATACCCATGTGCTTCAGCCATATCCAACCCAGATCACTCAATCAGAGAAACAGTTTGTGGTGTTTGAGGGAAACCATTATTTCTATTCTCCCTATCCCACAAAGACACAAACTATGCGTGTGAAGCTTGCCTCTCGAAATGTGGAGAGCTACACCAAGTTGGGAAACCCCACACGATCTGAGGACCTCCTGGATTATGGACCTTTCAGAGATGTCCCTGCCTATAGTCAGGTAGGCTCATGTGGAATATTGCCCATGCCTGTCTACTTCAGAGAACGTCTTCTAGAGTGACAGCTAGTTAGTTGATAGGGTTGGGTGGTGTAGGGTAGGTGGAAATCCAAGATCAGTTTTTTTTTAAAATATATTTTATTGATTTTTTACAGAGAAGAAGGGAGAGGGATAGAGAGTTAGAAACATTGATGAGAGAGAAACATCGATCAGCTGCCTCCTGCACGCCGCCCAGGGGGGATGTGCCCGCAACCAAGGTACATGCCCTTGACCGGAATCAAACCTGGGACCCTTCATTCCGCAGGCCGACGCTCTATCCATTGAGCCAAACCGGTTCGGCCAAGATCAGTTTTTTAATCTGCTGCGGAATGACCCATGGGGTCATTGTTCTCTTGGGAGTACAGATAGAGGCTGTGAGTTGGGGAAGACATTTATTTGTTTGTTTGTTTGTTTGTTTATTTATTTTTTATTTAAAAAAACCTTTATTATTGAAAGTATATATGTCCTAGGAAGACTTTTTAAAGCAGATAGCATTTGGAGAGTTGGAGTGGGAGTTGGGGGAGAAGGAAACAAGGCATTCTAGGCAGAGGCAATAAGAAGTTCAAAGGCCTGCCCTAGCTGGTTTGGCTCAGTGGTTAGAGTGTCAGCCTGCAGACTGAAGGGTCCCAGGTTTGATATCGGTCAAGGGCACATGCCTGGGTAGCAGGATCGATCCCCAGTAGGGCGGCATGCAGGAGGCAGCCAGTCAATGATTCTCTCATCATTGATTTTTCTATCTCTCCCTCTCCCGTTCTCTCTGAAATCAATAAAAATATATCCTAAAAAGAAAAAAAGGACAGAGGCCTGAGGATAAGAATACAGATAGGAACCCTGGTTGGGTGACTCAGTCGGTTGGAGCGTCGTCACATACACCAAAAGGTTGTGGATTCGATTCCCAGTCAGGGCACATACCTAGGTTGTGGGTTCAACCCCTGGTCAGGGTGGATACCGGAGGCAGCTGATCGATGTTGCTCTCTCTCTCCCCCGCCCCCCCCTTCCTCTCTCTTAACATATCCTCTGATGAGGATTGAAAAAAAGAGAAAAGGAAAGAAATGGGAAAATATGTGGTGTGTTGTCTAGTGTTGCTGGAGTAGCTTCTGTGGGTAGTAAAGCTGGCTCCATTGCTGAGCCTTGGGTTGGGCCTTAAAAGTAGAAGGAGCAATTAAGTCTTAAAAAAGATTTTGTTATGAAAAGTTTCAAACATATGTAAAAGTATAGAGAATAGTATAACAACTCCCAATAGACCCATCACTTAGATATCACTTAGATTCAGTGGTTATCAAGATATCAGCACACTTCAGATGTTTTTTTTTTTTTTTTTTTTTTTTTTGCTGTAATAATTTAAAGCAAATCTTAGGAATCATATCATTTCACCCTATGTTTTCTTTCTGTTTTCTCTTTTAAATGTCATTTAACATATAGTTAGGGCTGTTTATTTTGGGTTGTTTTTAACTTTTTAAGAATTTTTATAGGTTTAATTTTTTGAAAATTAAAATTCTTACATTTTCTTTTTTAATATATATATATATTAATTGATTTCAGAGAGGAAGAGAGAGGGTGAGAGATAGAAACATCAGTGATGAGAGAGGATCATTGATTGGCTGCCTCCTGCAGGCTCCCTACCGGGGATTGATCCCACAACCCAGGCATGTGCCCTGACTGGGAATCAAACTGGCTACCTCTTGATTCCTGGGTTGATGCTCAACCGCTGAGCCACACTGGCGGGGCTAACATGCTAAATCTTTAATTAGACTCATCAAGAAGAAAAGAGAGAGGACCCAGATAAAATCAGAAATTAAAGAGAGGTATAAATAATTATAAGAAAACACTATGAACAATTGTTTGCCAACAAGTTGGATAACCTGGAAGAAATGGATACATTCCTAGAAACATACAATCTTCCAAAAGAATGAATCAGTTAGAAACGGAAATCTGACTAGACTGATAACTACTAACAAAATTGAATCAGTAATCAAGAAACTCCCAACAAACAAAACTCCCAACAAAAGTCCTATGCTGGATGGCTTCACATGGCTTCACGGGTGAATTTTTCCAAACATTCAAAGAATTATCATGTATCGTTCTTAAACTATTTTCAGAAATTCAAGAGGAGGGAAGACTTCAAAGCTCATTTTATGAGGTCAGCATCACCCTGATTTTAAAACCAGATAAAGACTACAGAAAAACAAGAAATTATAGGCCAATATCCCTGATGAGCTTAGATGCAAATGTCTTAAACAAAATATTAACAAACTCAATTCGGCAGTATAATAAAAAAATCGTGCCCATGATCAAATGGGATTTATTTCTGGGATACAAGATTGGTTCAATATCCACAAATCAATTAACATTATACACCACATAAACAGAATGAATGATGAAAACCGTATCACATCAGTATTACACAAAACAGCATTTTTACAAAATATGGCATCCATTTATGATAAAAACTTTCAGCAAAGTGTGAATAAAGGGAACATACCTCAACATAATGAAGGCCATATGTGACAAACCCACATCTTACATCATCCTCAACGATGAAAAGCTAAAAGCATTTTTCTTAAGATCAGGAACAAGACATGGATGTCTGCTTTCCCCACCTATATACAACAGTATTGGAAGTCCTGGACTTAAAAGATTATAAGACATCAAAGAAAGAAGTCGAAGAAGAGAAAAGTAAATGGAAGCATAAACATGGTTGAACTGTTTTAACATGGTTAAAATGTTCATACTACTTAAAGCAATGTATAGGTTTAGTCCAATCCCTATCAAAATACCAATAGTATTTTTCACAGAACTGGAACAAAGAATTCTAAAATTTATATGAACCACAAAAGATCCCTAATAGCCAAAATAATCTTGAGAAAAAACAAAGTTGGAGATACCACACTACCTGATATCAAACTATACTACAAGGCTTTAGTAATCAACATCATCCTACTGGCATAAAACCAGATGCCTAGATCAATGGAACAAAATAGAAAGCCCAGAAATAAACCCAAGCCTATATGATCAATGATCCATTAATCTGACAAAGGAGGCAAAAAGTACAATGGGGTAAAGAGTCTCTTTAACCCTTTGTACGCCGTAAGTGTCTATAGACACGGTGGACCTTTATTGGTTTCTGTTTTGGATGCGTGGCAGTTAACTGGTTAATAAATGGTGTTGGGAAAACTGGACAGATACATGCAAAAATGGAAACCACACTAGACCACTTAAACCATATACAAGGATAAACTCAAAATGGGTTAAAGATTTAAAGGTAAGACTCAATTATGAAACTCCTAGAAGAAAACAGGGAGTAAACTCTGACATTGCTCTTAGTACTGTTTTTTTTTTTAATATGTCTCCTTGGGCAAGGGAGACAAATGAAGAAACAAACAAATGGGACTAGATCAAACTAAAATGTTTTTTCACAGCAAAGGAAACTATCAAAATGAAAAGACAACCTTCTGAATGGGAGAAGATACTCGCCAATGATACATTTGATAAGGGCTTAATATCTAAAATATATAGGGAACTCATACAGCTTAGCCCTCTGAAAAACAATCTGTAACAAATGGTCAGAGGACCTGTGAAGAGACATTTCTCCAAGTAAGATACAGTTGGCCAGTAGACATGAAAGTATGCTCAACATCACTACTCATCAGAGAAATGTAAATTAAAATCACAATGAGGTATCACCTTATGCCTGTCAGAATGGCTATCATTAATAAATCAACAAACTAAGTTGTCAAGATGTGGAGAAAGAAAACCCTCATGCTTTTTGGCCTAATTGCAAATTGGTGCGGCCAGTATAGAAAACAGTGTGGATGTTCCTCAAAAAATTAAAGACAGAGCTACCATCTGGCCCAGCAATCCCACTTCTGGGTATATATCCAAAGAAATCCAAAACACTAATTTGAAAAGATGTTTGCATCCTGTGTGCATTGCAGCATTATTTACAATAGCCAAGATATGAAATTAACTAGTGTCCGTCTATTGACGGGTGAATAAAGAGAATGCGGTACATACATGCAGTGGAGTGGTAGTTGGCTTTTGAAACAATGAATCTTGACCATCTGTTACAACATGGATGGACTGAGGGTATTATGCTGAGTGGAATAAGTCAGAAAAACAGATACCATATGATTTGACTTATATGTGGAATCTAAAAAAATGAATGAACAAACAGAAAAACAAACTCCGATGCAGAGAACAAACTAATGGTTGCCAGGTGAAAAGGGGAAGGGATTCAGAAGTATAAATTGGCAGTTACAAAATAGTCACTGGGATATAAAGTGCAGCATAGGGAATCTAGTCAATAATAACTATGGTGTAGATTTATCATGGGGTCACTTCATATGTTATGTAAATGTCTAACCACTGTACTGTACACCTGAAACTAATGTAGTATTGAGTGTCAGCTGTAATTGAAAAATGGAAAAAATTAAAACTATAAGGAAAAAGTACAAATAATCTTTAATTCTGCTTCCTATATGCGTTCTTATGTATTGCATTTTAGAATCTTTTTTCTCACGTAGTTGCTATAAGTAGAGTGTAGAAGTTTTTTTTTTAAACAAGTGATATTTGTGTTGGAACTTAAAATAATTTTGTATATCCTATTTTTCTAATTAATAACATCATGAATATTTCCATATAGTATTAAAAATTCATAGTAAATTTTTAAAAATGTTACATACAGTAGATACATTATAATTTAATCATTCTGTTGCTTATATGTAGTTTCTAATCAGTTTGATTTGAACTTTGAACTACTTGTTTCCTTCTTCTACAGGATACTTTTAAAGTACATTATGAGAACAACAGCCCTTTTCTTACTATCACCAGCATGACCCGAGTCATCGAGGTCTCTCACTGGGGTAATATTGCTGTGGAAGAAAATGTGGACTTGAAGCACACAGGGGCTGTGCTTAAGGGACCTTTTTCACGCTATGATTACCAGAGGCAACCCGATAGTGGTATATCCTCCATCCGTTCTTTTAAGGTATGGAGTTTTAAGCTTGGACGTTGGTAGAAACTATGACTTTATCATATTTGTTCTTTCATTTACTTTTTGAAAGTAGCTAAATATGGGCAGTTGTTTAAGATTAATTGAGGTTTAAGTGGTTGGGTGACGGTTAGAATCAAGAGGAAGAATCTTTAAAAAATGCCCTCATTGCCCTAGCCTGTTTGACTCAGTGGATAGAGCATCAGCCCATGGACTGAAGGGTCCTGGGTTCGATTCCTGTCAAGGGCACATGCCTGGGTTGCGGGCTCGACCCCCAGTAGGGTCATGCAGGAAGCAGCCAATCAGTGATTCTCTCTCATCATTGATGTTTCTATCTCTTTCTCCCTCTCCCTTCATCTCTGAAATCAATTAAAAAAATGTGTATATGTATATGTATATAAGAAAAAATGTATATACATATACAAGAAAAATTTTACTAGTCACATGCATATAAAAAATGCCCTCATTTATATAACTAGGTCATATTTTTTTAAAGAAGATTTAAATAGAAAAAGGAAAAACAGTACTACCCTTCATAATTAAAATTGCTGACATTTTAATATATTTTTTACACTGTTTTGAGAAAAGCAATTGATCAGACTTTATATATAGTTTTATCTTTTTGTCTTATAAATAAAAAAAGCAATTGATCATATTTTATATATAGTTTTATCTTTTTTGCCTTACAAATGAAATCTTATAAGCATTTTCATGTACTTATATATTACAGAAGGGTTCGCTGTATGAAAAACATATTACATTTTCTCCCCCTGATTATCAAAATATGCTTCCAGATTTGGAAGCTACAATAAAGAATATAATGTGGAGAAAACCCTTCTATAACCTTGCCTGTCTCCTAGTTATTTGATGTAATGTCTTCCATCTTTAGTTTCCCTCTGTAAAATAACTTTCAGATTGTTTTTACCTTTGTTCTGTCTAGGTAATTATGATTCTCTTTATTATCTACTTATAGAAGAATTTGACTATTGACCTTTTTAGAAGTAGATTTGATATCGAGACATTTTGAAGCCTTGGGGGAAAAGTTAGCCTCTAGATCAGTGATGGCGAACCTTTTGAGCTCGGCGTGTCAGCATTTTGAAAAACGCTAACTTAACTCTGGTGCCATGTCACATATAGAAATTTTTTGATATTTGCAACCATAGTAAAACAAAGACTTATATTTTTGATATTTATTTTATATATTTAAATGCCATTTAACAAAGAAAAATCAACCCAAAAAATGAGTTCGCGTGTCACCTCTGACACGCATGTCATAGGTTCGTCATCACTGCTCTAAATTGTTTACAGTTTGGGGACTATTTTAATTGAGTAGTACTGGGATGAAGATTTTGGTGCAGAAAGTATTTTCTCTATTTAGGATTAATTCCTCTGAAAAATGCATGTTCATTCTCTTGCAGACCATTCTTCCCGCTGCTGCCCAGGATGTTTATTACCGGGATGAGATTGGCAATGTTTCCACCAGCCACCTCCTTGTTTTAGACGACTCTGTAGAGATGGAAATCCGGCCTCGTTTCCCTCTTTTTGGAGGGTGGAAGACCCATTACATCGTTGGTTACAACCTCCCAAGCTATGAGTACCTCTATAATTTGGGTCAGTCTTAGTAAGGGAGTGGAGAACGGAGAGACCATCTTTTTCTTTAATTTCTTGCAGTTATTATTATTATTATTTCACAATTGCCAGTCCTTCTAGATGGGGAGAAAGAATATTTTCTTATCATTCTTAAAAAGGCTGAGATATTATGCCAGGCCAGCGTGGCTCAGTGGGGGTTGAATCTTTGCCAGTCTTCAGTATTTGGCATTTTCTCTTGAATCTTTTCTTCATTTAAAACTTTTCTTGCCTAAGCTGGTTTGGCTCAGTGGATAGAGCCTCGGCCTGCAGACTGAAGGGTCCTGGGTTCGATTTTGGTCAAGGACACATGCCTAGGCTGTGGGCTCATCCCCAGTAGGGGGCGTGCAGAAGGCAGCCAATCAATGATTCTTTCTCATTGATGTTTCTCTCTCTCTCCCCCTTCCTCTCTGAAATCAATAAAAATACATTAAAAAATAAAAAATAAAACTTTTTACTTTTTATCGTAAGGCATTATCTGTTTATTCATTCACATTCCTTCTAGGTTAGCCTTCATTTATAAAATGATTTTTTTCTTTTTCTTTTTTATAGACATTTTATTTTTATTTTATTTTTTAAATATATTTTATTGATTTTTCACAGAGAGGAAGGGAGAGGGATAGAGAGTTAGAAACATTGATGAGAGAGAAACATCGATCAGCTGCCTCCTGCACACTCCCCACTGGAGATGTGCCTGCAACCAAGGTACATGTCCTTGACCAGAATCGAACCTGGAACGCTTGAGTCCGCAGGCCGACGCTCTATCCGCTGAGCCAAACTGGTTAGGGCATGATTTTTTCTTTTATTTCTAAATTTTTTCCTGAGTTCTGGAACTTTTCTGAATTTTTATAAGTCTGATTTATATATTTTTTTTTCATAACTTGTGTCATTTTCATAATACCTTTAGCTTGTTTGAAATAGCAGGAACAAATTTGATTGGTTTTGTGGGCATGTCTTATGGTATGCTTTCATTTTCTCTAGGGATTTTTTTTTTGTAACTTAAAAAATTATTTTTAATTATAGTTGACAAGTTTTTAAAATATAACTTAATACAAAAGGGGGAGTCTGATACTTCTCTGTTGCTCATTTTTAATGTGAACTTTTAGGAGGAATGATTATAACTACCCAATTCTCTGTTGTTTAGTGTAATATTGAAAAATATGGTGGCTTGCTTTCTGAGCTTTCTCTGGCTTTGTTTTCCTGTAGCTCTGTTGTCCTCATTATGCTTGATTTTGATTCTACTCCAGCAGTTTTTGATCCGTGTAGGGTACTGTCCTGGCAGGGGAGCTCTGGTGGGCTTTTCAAAGTGCTCAGGGACTAGACTGCTCTAGCCTTACAGATCTTCTGCGGCCCATTTTACTTACCCACTGTGCAGGGTGTAGGACTCCTGAGTTCTAGTTGCTCTTCTCCAGCTGGCCTGCCTTACTCTCCAGTGAACACTGTTGTCTGTCAGGGGCTCTTCTTTCCTCAGGCCTCTCAGTTGCCCTGTTGCTTCCTTCTGCTTTATCATTTACAGGCCCTAATAATGTGTAGGTCGTGTGGCTGTTGGTGTTTTGTGGACTACACCCCCTTGTATTTGGGGGTTTGTGGAGATGCCATGTTACCTAGTTTTGTTGTGAATATGGTCCATGGGTTTTTTACTTTGTTATCTAGTTGCTCTGTCTTTATGTGGAAATTGGGGAAAACCCAAAATCTATGCTGCTACCACCACCTCTGTCTTCCAGACTCTCCTAGTGCATTAACTTCAGATAGCATCTTTACTCCTCTGTGTAAGATGGGAGTGTACTCCCTTTTTTCCTGTCCTATTTTCTCAGTTTTTCACATCATTGCATGTGTTTGCTTGATCCTTCAGGTGACCAGTATGCATTGAAAATGAGGTTTGTGGACCACGTGTTTGATGAGCAAGTGATAGATTCTCTGACTGTGAAGATCATCTTGCCCGAAGGAGCCAGGTGAGTGTGACTGTTCCTTTCCTCTGTTCCCATTTCTGTGGTGGTGCCCTTGGTTACTCGAAGCAAATCTGTGTGGAGGAGGCACAGAGTAAGTGCTCAGTATATAGTTTTAAAAATATATATATATATTTTTATTGATTTAAAAGAGGAAGGGAGAGGGAGAGAGAGAGAGATAGAAACATCAAGGATGAGAGATAGAAACGTCAAGGGTCATTGATTGGCTGCCTCCCGCATGTCCCACACTGGGGATTGAGTCCACAACCCAGGCATGTGCCCTGACCGGAATCAAACTGTGACCTGGTTCATAGGCCGATGCTCAACCACTGAGCCACGCTGGCCGGTTGTCAGTATATATCTTTGACAGAAGCCTGTAGGGACCTTTTGACTGGAGTTTAAGTGGAAAAATTAGATTCAGATGAGGGAACGAGATTTATTTATGAAATATTCCTCAAACACAGTGCTTTTGTGTGACAGGAGCAGTCTCCAAAGTCACCTTAGCAGGCCACAGTGATGGCCTGAATCTGATGGGATGATCTGCAATAGGAAATAATTCAAAGTCAGGACAGTCAGGCAGCCCTTGTGCTGTGTTAATAGAATGAAGAAGAGCCCTGGCTTGTTTGGCTCAGTGGATAGAGCATCAGTCTGCAGACTGAAGGGTCCTGAGTTCGATTCTCAAGGGCACATGCCTGGGTTGCAGGCTCGATCCCCAGTAGGGGGCGTGCAGGATGCAGCCGATTGATGATTCTTTCTCATTGATATTTCTCTCCTTCTCCCTTCCTCTCTGAAATCAATAAAGATATATTAAAAAGAAAAAAAAAGAATGAAGAAGGGTAATGGGTTCCATAGACCAGGTTCAGAAAGGTGGGCACAGGAGGGAGAGGAGAGGATCTCAGATGGTGTATTAGCGTCCCATGGTTACAAGCTGTAGGAGCTGTCTTTGGTCATTTTAAGCAGAAAGGAATGGACTTGGAAGAATAAGGGATATCCTAAAATGACAGCATAGGCTGAGGAACTAGGCTGAGGAAGCCAGAGCCAGAGTATCTCCAGGACTCCAGTTGGCTAAAACTGATGGCCACACACAGGGGCACCTGCCCTTGGCGTGAGCGACAAATACCTTTTTGTAGGCTTTTTGTCATTTTACTCTTGATTCATTTTAAAGGGAAACATCTACTTGGCCTCCTTGGGTTATTTGTCTACTCTGATCACCAGAAGGAGAGGCACCTTGATTGTTCTTCCTGTGGAAGACATTCAGTTGGGGAATGGGTAGTTCCTCCAAGTAAAACTAGAGTGCTGTTGACTAGGAGAAGGGAGAATGAGTGTGTGTAGGCAAAAGCAGGACATGTCCAACTATGCCCTGTAACAAATTTCCAGTCTGTGAAGAGACAGACCATTTGGAGTAACTTTTCAGGAGCCTCTTCAAGTCCCTGAGAGGCTCTTGTTGGGTAGAATGCACACAGTTCTGTGATCTCTGTGATTCCAAGGGGTGGGCCAGTAGTGGTGAGCCCTTATGAGTGCAGGTTGCAGGGTGATAGACAGTTGTTGCCTCAGCAGAAGAATGGTCTCATACTCAGGACTTTCTGGCAGTGGGTCAGCTGCCTCAGGTGGTCAGGTGTTCCTGGTGCTGGTAGGGGAGCAGAGTGGAGTGTGAACTTAGTGACCCTGAAAGGCCCCTGGATTGAGCCTTGGAATTTTCCAACCCTAAATAAACCTAGTTGGTCAGTGCAGTTTGTCTGAGGCTATATTATATTCCCATCTGCCTCCAGGAACATCCAAGTTGACAGTCCCTATGAAATCAGCCGTGCCCCAGATGAGCTGCACTACACCTACCTGGACACATTTGGTCGCCCTGTGATTGTTGCCTACAAAAAAAATCTGGTAGAACAGCACATTCAGGACATTGTGGTACGTGACTCCATGGTTCTGTCTCCTATGCCTCCGTTCACAGAGAATGGGTGCTGGGGGCCAGGTCTTGCCTATCTTTCCCTCCTTGGGCTGGAGTGGTTTGAACATAGCATCCTCTGGGGGTAGGGCTGGGCAGGTGGGGTGGGGCAGCCTGGATGATTGTTGGCTTGGTGAAGCCCCTTTTGGCTCCCAGGTTTCTGAGTCCATGTAGGCCTGACACAGCCCATCTTCTTGGTTCTCCCCCCAGGTGCACTACACATTCAACAAGGTGCTCATGCTGCAGGAGCCCCTGCTGGTAGTGGCTGCTTTCTACATCTTGTTCTTCACAGTCATCATCTATGTCAGGCTGGATTTTTCTATCACAAAGGTACCCTTGTGTCTTTCTTCTTGTCAGTTTGTCATTTTGCACCCTTGATAATGTGTTTCACTAGGTTTACTTAGCATTGGTCGTCACAGTAGACCAACGTAGCACCTTGTAGCCCAGAAGATTCTCTGCTGCCTGTGGCTTCTGCTAATCCTTTCTGTAAAGATAACCTTGTTTTTGTTGCTGTGATCATGGAGCACGCACAGGTTGCTAATGGTGAGTGAGTACTGTGGGATCAGGGCAGCAGACACAGTGTGTACTTTTAAGGGCCCGAAAGGCTACCCTGAGTAGGTGAGGTGCAGAAAAGGTGGGAAGGGCACTCAGCCAGAGGGAACAGTTTGTGGGACAGCAGAGAGGGCTCACAGGGACCTGTGGGTAGCAGTAGTATAAATGTAAGCAAAAAAGTTGATCCAGCTGGTTCCATAAACCAGTAAGGCTGCCCAAGGCTCAAGGTGGTGCAGTTGGGATAGCTGCTAACAAACTTTGTCATGCAGAAGGGTTGAGTCTAGGTTTTATTATGAAATAGCCCTATCTTTTAAGCTATAAAAATTGCTTTTGTTTTATTGATTAAAAAATTTTTTTACATTTATAGAAATATTACAAGAAAGATAAAAATAACTCTTGTACTGGTATACTCATCACCTAGACATAGCTAACATTTGACTGACCTCTATACATCATTATTTTTCCTGAACCATTTGAGAAGTTTGCAGACATTTGTGCTCCTTTACCGTTGAATACTTAAGCGTGTATGCAACCTGAGAACAAGGGTATTCTCTTACATAACCACGATGCAATGATCAAATTCGGGAAATGTAATTCAGTTCATGTTCAAATGCTGCTGACAATCCCAGTGATAACTTTTATAACAATTATTTTTCATATTCCAGAATCCAATTCAGGATCATGCAGCTCATTTAGTTATCGTAGCTCCCTAGTCTCTTTTTTAAAAAAAATATATTTTATTGATTTTTTATAGAGAGGAAGGGAGAGGGGGAGAGAGTTAGAAACATTGATCAGCTACCTCCTGCACACCCCCTACTGGGGATGTGCCTGCAATCAAGGTACATGCCCTTGACCGGAATCGAACCTGGGCCCCTTCAGTCCGCAGGCCGACGCTCTATCCACTGAGCCAAACCAGCCAGGGCACCCCTAGTCTCTTTTAATCTGGCGCAGTTCCTCAGCCTTTCTTTGTCTTTAATGACCTTGACATATTTGAAGTTTAGAGACCTTTTGAAGTTTGTAGACTGTCCTTAGTTTACATTTATCTTATGTTTCTTCCTGATTAAATTCAGATTACGCATTTTTGGCAAGAACACTATAAAGTGATGTTGCATTTGCAGTGTGTCACATCAGGAGTTCCTAGTGTTGGTGATATTAACTCTTTTTTTGAATATATTTTTATTGATTTCAGAGAGGAAGGGGGGGGAGAGAGAGAGAGAAACATCAATGATGAGAGAGAATCATTGATTGGCTGCCTCCTGCACGCCCCCTACTGGGGATCATGCTTGCAACCAGGGCATGTGCCCTTGACCAGAATCAAACCTGGGACCCTTCAGTCCACAGGCGGACGCTTTATCCACAGAGCCAAACTGGCTAGGGCTCCATTGATTTTTGGAGAGAGTGGGAGGGGGAGAGACAGAGAGAGAAACATCGATGTGAGGGAGACACATTGATTGGTTGCTTCCTGTACGCACCTGACCAGACGGCCAGGGATTGAGCCTGCAACTGAGGTACGTGTGTCCTGGGCCAGAATCTAACCTGGGACCCTTCAGTCCATGGGCTGACACTCTATCCACTGAGCCAAACCGGCTAGTGCTCCCTTGAAGTATTTAAGGAGTAACATAATGGACATTCTGGAATCTTGCCCTTACCTGAGCTGAGATTTATCTTTCCTCAGCACCTTATGTCTTTCATGGTGCACTCTGGCATTAGTACATCTGTTTGCCCTGCTGGACTTTGAAGTGAACATCTGTTTCATCTTCATGTCCCCAGTCTTTCCCGTTGCTGAACTGGCCCAGATTCAGTGTTAGTACAAGTTTGATTCTCTGACTTTCCAAGAAGATGGCTTTTTTTGTTTGCACAGCTGGTAGTGGGTGATGTTTGGAGGTGAAGGTTGGAGCGGGTTCAGGCCTGGTTTCGTCTTATACTGTCTCTCCTCCAGGATCCGGCTGCGGAAGCCAGGATGAAGGTGGCTTGCATCACAGAGCAGGTCTTGACCCTGGTCAATAAGAGACTAGGTCTCTACCGTCACTTCGACGAGACTGTCAATAGGTATAAGCAGTCCCGGGATGTGTCCACCCTCAACAGTGGCAAGAAGAGCCTGGAGACGGAACACAAAGCCTTGACCAGTGAGATTGCACTGCTGCAGTCCAGGCTGAAGACGGAGGGCTCTGACCTGTGCGATAAGGTAGGTGTCTGTCAGCACTGAGTCGCTTGGCTCGTTGCTTGCCATATCCCATCTTCGAGGGCTGTACCCCACTATCTAGACTAGAGCATCATATGGCTGCTCTGTCTGGGTCAGCCACCAGGCAGCTCTTGCTCACTGCTGGCTTGTGGTGTGATACTGCACCCAGTGGCATTGTGTCAATCCTTGTGGTGGAACAGGAAGTTTGGGTGTCTTGGATCTGAGCTGGGTGTGGAGAAAGCTCTCCTAGATTATATAGCCTGTCTGTCCTCACAGCTGGTACTGACAGCAGCTGCTTCCTCCTTGGAAGCCAGTCTGAACCACGTGAGAAGAACCAGACTTAGAAGAGGGGTTAAGTCCAGGCTCTGATTCAGACTTTGTAAACCTAGGCATGTTATCTCACTCTGTACCTCAGTTGCCTCACCTGTAAACTGGAATGCTATTAGTATTACCCATAGTGGTTGTGAATGTGAAATAAGTGTGACATGCTTGATGTAAAGGGCTGAGAATCCTGCCTGGGACGTGCTGTGTGAGTTCCTGTGGCCTATAAATGAGGAGGGGAACCTCCCCTCCCCCTGGAGGTGTCCTTTAGAGTTCCGGACCACACTCTCCATGTGCCACGCCCCAGCATTCTCCTTATCCTGTGCTGTTTTCTTTATAGCAGCTACCATTTTCTGAAAATGTTTATTCATGTGCTTAAGTATTTATAATCTGTCAGCTTCTTGTGGGGCAGATGCCTTATCTGTCTTTAGTGCTTTTTCCAGAACCTAGAATCATGCCTAGCACTATGACTCACTAAATATTTGTTGAATGTTGAGTGAATGTGGGTATAAAAGTCCTCAGTCTGACATCGAGTTGGTGATAACATGGGAGTCATTCAGACCTAAAATTACACCCCAGCCAGTGGTCCTTTGCCTATGTGAATTTCTGCACCTAATTTGATAATCAAAGGGAAGAGAATGAATGTTCCTTGAGTACCTACTGTGTGCCTGGCACCACCGTGTTTAAGTGATTTTACATATTTTCCCATTCATTTCTTGCAATCCTCTTCTACAGCTAAGGCCCAGGGATGGTGAAGGGTTTTGTTCACAAGGGTTAGAGCTTGAAGGAACAGGGTTTGCGGGGGCGGGGGGGTGAGGCTGGCATTTGAAGCCAAGCCTGTCTCCCTTCACAGCCAGCCCGTGTGGCCTGGGAGTTCTGGAATCTGTTGGCATGGGAGGTGGTGAGCCTTGCTGAATGAGGGTGAGAGGACCACTCTCAAGCCTTGCCCTGCTCTTGCCTTGGCCAGGTGAGCGAAATGCAGAAACTGGATGCACAGGTCAAGGAGCTGGTGCTGAAGTCGGCAGTGGAAGCTGAGCGGCTGGTGGCTGGCAAGCTCAAGAAAGACACGTATATCGAGAATGAAAAGCTCATCTCAGGAAAGCGACAGGAGCTGGTCACCAAGATTGACCACATCCTGGATGCTCTGTAGGCCCTGCCAGTTGTCTACTGGGTGGGCCCAGGGCGCTGCACTTACGGCAGGTGTGTGTGTGTGTCGGGGGGGATGAACGTTGAGGCCAGTGAATGCTGGCGTCTGTATTTTATAAAAGGCCTTCAAGGAAGAGAAGCCAGGCCCTGCCTTAGACAAAACAAGAAGCTTAGTTTTTTCCCCTAAACTGTTCCTTTAAAAAAATGTAAAAACAAACAACTGAAACCACACACACACACACATCAAAAACTTAAATTCCATTAAAAATAAAATACCTGTTTTTGAACAAATAAATTTTCAATATTTGATTGGTTTTGTTTTATTCTGAAGCCTAGGATATTATTTTAAGCCTGTAAGCTCCTTGTTTTATGCCCTTCTAATTCCTGATGTTTGAGTATTTTGCAAGTGTATGCATATTTTTAAAACATGTGCGAACAAAAGAAAATAAAACAGGGACTGTGAAACATTTGTTTTGTCCTGTTGACAATCTCACAACTTACTTCTTGAGTATAATGCTTTTATCAAGTGCTTTTTATTGATTAAATAATGGACTTACTCCTTAGAGCAAGTGTGCATACAAGTGTAAGTATCTATATATATAAAAGGCAAAGTGACCGACCGTATGTATGTCTGACCGACCGACTGGTACATATGACGTGCAATTTAAAAATAAACGTTGACTTGTGCGTGCACGATACATATAAAGCTCTCGCTGGCACCAATCGCATGCATGTTTGAATTTTATAATACTACTAGAGGCCTGATGCACGAAATTTGTGCAAGGGCCTTGGCCCCCACTACCACGGCGGCCACTTCTGCTGTGGCCCCCACCCGCTGCAGCTTTGTCCAGAAGGAAGGATGTCTGGTCTAATTAGCATATTACGCTTTTATTATTATAGATACTATATATACTATTTTGACATGTAATTTTTAAAAAATATATATATTTTATTGATTTTTTACAGAGAGGAAGGGAGAGGGACAAAGAGTCAGAAACATCGATGAGAGAGAAACATCGATCAGCTGCCTCCTGCACATCCCCCACTGGGGATGTGCCCACAACCAAGGTACATGCCCTTGACCAGAATCGAACCTGGGACCCTTCAGTCCACAGGCCGACGCTCTATCCACTGACATGTAATTTTTTGCAGTAACGTAATTACTGCATGAATCTTTTAATCAATTTTTTTTCAATGTGCATGAATCTGTGCACTGGGCCACTTGTTGGTTATATATTAGAACACTGAGGCCACAAAGGTGAAGTGGCCTTCATAAGAACAGAGTGGAGGAAGTGAGGGCTCTGTTCTTGCAGTTTTTGATTACCTATTCTTCATCACATGCGCTACTGGGCACTAAAGAAATGATGATGAACAAAGCAGAATGATTCTTATGGAGGACAGATAGTAAAATGGTCAAATACAAGTTCATAATTACAAACTGACAAAACCTTGTGAGGAAAGGGGACAGGGTCCTCTGATGTTATATACTGGACACTTAATCTGCAAGGGAGCTGGGGAAAGTTTCATTGAAGGAAGTGACTTTTTTTTTAATCCTCACCGGAGGATATTTCTCCATTGATTTTTAGAGTGAAAGAGAGAGGGAAAGATGGAAATATCGATGCGAGAGAAACACATCGAGTGGTTGCCTCCTGCACACGCCTGACCAGGGCCCGGGCTAGGGAGGAGCCTACGACCGAGGTACATGCCTTGATCAGAATCGAACCTGGACGCTTCGGTCTACAGGCCGACGCTCTATCCACTGAGCCAAACCGGCCAGGGAGGGAAGTGACTTTTGAGTTGAGCTCTGGAGGAGTTACATAGATGGCAGGGGATGGTGCGGCAGAGAGTGTTCCAGGTAGAGAGCATAGCATTGCAAAAGCCCTGCGGCAGCCTGGGGCTTGGCATGAAGTTGGATGCAGAGAGTCAGGTGGACAGGGTACAACCAAGGGCTGCAGAGGAAAAATATAGAACAAGGTAAGGCTGTATAAGTTTGTTAAAGCTTTTGGCTTTATCCTCAAATGAAGGGAAGACAGACCAGTGTGTGAGAACATGCTTAGATTTATATTTCGGGCTGAGAATGAACTACTGAAGGCTGAAGGATGTGGGAGAAAACCTGAGAGCCTCTAGTAATCTAGGCAAAAGGTGATGGCTTGGGCAAGGGTGGTGATGTGCCAATGTGGATGGATTTGAGAGATTTACTGGTAGATGGGCAATGAGCAGTGCTAAAGGAGTGCCATGCTTTCTCCCACTCTTCTCTGGTATATACACCTCGTCTTCACCTAGTTAATTCCTATGCATCCTTCAGGTAACAGTTTAAAGCTTCTGTCTCATGGGAGCCTTCTAGGACCTCTCAGACTCAATCAAATTCTGTTGTACCCTCTTGTTCTGTCTCCACATCATACTGCACAGTTAGAGTGTGTGATTAATGGACTAGCTCTGATAGTGCAGGGGTTTTGTCTGGTATGCTTACCCTTACATTACCAGCTAGATGTTCAGATCAGTGTATTACACATAGTAGGTGGCTTACTGAATGAATGAATAGCTTAAATATTGGTGTAGTGAGTTGAGGGATGATTGTGCCATTCATTTAATATGGGAAGATCTGTAAGGCCAGGTTTGAGGAAGATGATGAGTTGTTTCAGACATGGTAAGGTGGGTGTGCTTAGGACATCCAAATGGGAATGTCTGTGGGCAGTTGGATATTTAGTCCTGAAGCTCAGAATGGCATGGAAATGATAAATGTGGGGGTCGTTCAGCGTGAAGATGGCTGTGGAAATGGTGAGATGGCAGTTGGGGTGGGTGAGGGTGCCTAGGAAGGGTTCTGAGTAAGAAGAACTGAACATTAGGACTTTAAAGTACAGTGGCCTCTTGGAGCACACCACTGCACACAAGTTGAGAAAGTGGCCGGTGAGGAAAGAGAAAGGCTTGGACCATGTGGTGTCATGGAAGCCAAGTGGAAAGATGTTTCAAGGAAGAGCAATCAGTGAGTGCTGCTGCGAGTTGCCAAGCAAAAGGAAGAATGGGAGAGGTCTGTTGGTTTTAGAATGGGTCATTGAAGTCATTCTTTGGTGATTTAGAACTTGGTTGAATGGTAGGAATGGGATTGGCCTGAGGTGAGGCTCTTTTTTTATTTTATTTTTTAAAATATATTTTATTGATTTCAGAGAGGAAGAGAGAGAGAGAGAGAAACATCAATGATGAGAGAGAATCATTGATCAGCTGCCTCCTGCACACCCCCTACTGGGGATCGAGCCCGCAACCGGGGCATGTGCCCTTGACCGGAATCGAACCCGGGATCCTTCAATCCACAGGTCAACACTCTATCCACTGAGCCGAAACAGCTAGGGCTCCTTTTGAATACTGACTGCATTTCACATCTAGTTGTGAAAAGAATGAGACCAGGGTAGCTATTAGAAGAATGTGCAGCTGAAAATTTTAAGATGGAAGAGATTAGTATTAAATGCTAGTGGGAAGGATTCAGTGGAAAATCGGAGGCGGAATATAGAGGAGAGAAAATGATTGTGGACAACGTGAGGTATGCGGTCAAAAGGACATTGGAAGGACGGGGACAGTTTGGGAGAGGACACTCCTTCAGTAGTGGGGCCCTGCAGTCAGGGTCTGCGTGGAAATCCTAATACTGCCTTCCACTGTGACCTTAGGCAAGGCTTTGGGCATCAGTTCCCTCATTTGTAAAGTGAAGCATTGCTATATTAGCCACTTGGTAGGATGGCTTTAAGGATCACATGAGGTAATAAGTGTAAAGTGGCATATTGCAACTGCTTGTTAAGAATTAGCAATTGTTTCCATTTCCTCTCATTTTATCTCCATTTCTCCAATCAGTTTCTGGCCTGAGCCCGAGTCCTTGGGGTATCCTGTCTTCAAGGGCTGGAAACTGGAGGCTGCACTTGACCAGTGTTTACACGGCGTTCTCCTCGTGGGCCTGGCCCACTCACACCTAGTTTCTGGTGCCCCTAGGTAGGACCAAGCCAGGCTTCTCCCTGTCCCCCCAGAATTGCCCAACTGACTGGCCCAGCAGCCCTGCAGCGCCGCCTCTGCTTCTCTAAGGAAACCCAGTGCAGCTATGTGCTTTAGGGCTGGGGCCCTGGTCACCCTGGCCAGGTACCACCTCAGCCCATTTGGCCAGTTACTTCACCAGCCTGGAAAAGAAGGAAAAGTTGGCGAGGGTTCATGCTGGTGGCCCACTTGCAGGCCTAGGCAGGGAGCTGCACTGTGCCCTCGTGTGTCTCAACCCTGTGGACGCGTCACTGAAGTGAGGCCAAGTGTGCAGGCGCAGATGGCCGCTGGGCTAGAAAAGCAGCGCATGCACGATGCTGCACCTGTGTTTAAGGCAGGCTAGGTGCTCTGGCTGTGGCACCACCTAGGGGCGCAGGTCTGGGAACTGCCAACCCCACCTAGACTAGAACTGGGTCTGGGGTCAGCGCGGGAGCTGGGCTGCAGCACAGATGTCTAGCGATGGGGACTTGGGCTCCCGGTTTCCCTATGCTGGCTGTGGGCTAGCTGGATGGCACAGAGCCCATGACTCACCCAGCGCCCTGGGCTGGGGGCTACAGTGAAGCATCCTGCCCCCAACCCCCCCCCCCCTGCCCCCCCCCTCCGAGCCTCCTCTCATCCTTAGCTCTGGGTGTAGCATCTTTGGCCATGGGTAATCCTGCACCTCCCTAACCCTTGATTTACCTGTGGCAAACATGGCCTCAGTAACTCCTAGGGTTAGGGGTGAAGTGAGGCCCTGTGTATAAAGCCTTGACCAAGGCTTACCCCCCACCCCAGGCCAAGTGAGGTGTCTTAGATACCTTTCACCTCTTGTTTGGTCTCAGACCTAGTCTATCCTATCTGTGGCCCTCACACGGTGTGTGCCTGGAGAGGACCCCCCGCTCCCCCCAGGGTTCCAGAACAGTGTTCATACCCCCAGGCCAGACCCATCTGTCCAGCCTTGACCAAGTTGCCTGATCCCAGTGGCCTGACCCCAGCATCCATCATGGCCTCAGCTTTCAAGTGCCCCTACAGCCATAGGTGGTCGTGCAGCAGGCCCCTGGCCTGGAGCAGCTGCCTGCAGCCCTGCCCTGGCTTAGAACGGGGAAAACACAGCTGAAGAAGGAGGGCTGGGTGTCACTTTTCCTCCTCCATTTGTCTTGGAGGCTGACACGGGAGAAAACCCCAAAGGGCTGAATGCACCCTCACAGTTTCACCACAAGTATCCTGACCGGG